CCCCAGGTCCGTCGGTGGTACCTGCGGCAAAACTATAGCCCATGGCGGGCTGACAACCCCTGACCTTGTCGATCTTCCTGCTCAGCGGATTGTAGGTGCTGCCATTATAGTTGGGCATGTCCACAAACTGGTGGATGAACCTCACATCTCCGGTGACCTCCCGAGCCGTGGACTCCTGGCTCTGTTCGTTGAGCAATCCCAGGGCAGCATCCGCCAGTCGTTGACCCAAAATCTGGGTGCTCTCGAACATATCCTTTCCGGGGCCCGAGGCAAAGCAATCGCCTTCGCCAGAGGGACAGCGCGAGGTCAGCAGATCACATTCGTTGCCAGAAATCGAGCACTTAGGACCCATTATGTTGGGGGATACATCTCCAAGATTGGAGGAGCAGAAGGCTCCCACGAATTTTCCCTTGCCGGGCATCTTATTGGGATTGTACTCCTTTTCCAGGAGCAGGGCAGCATAGCCCACATTATCGCTGGTCACCAGTTGGTTGGTGTTGTTCATTGAGGTGGCATGAACGGCATACCAGTTGAAGGCACCCAGGAGGTTGTTCTCCATGTCCACGAATCTCAACTGGGTCAGGGTCTTATCCGTATCGTGTTCGTATTGGGCTCGCTCCTCGGCGGGATTTCTCAAGTAGGAAGAGGGTGAGCGGTTAATATTGACATTTAGCACTGTGGTTTTGGACAGGAAGATGCGACCATCTACCAGGTTGTCCGTGGCCCTTTTAATGCACTGAAACAATCAAATTATTTTATTTAATGTAAGGTTATAGAGAGATATAATACCCACCAGGTACAGACCCTGAGCCATCACCTCGAAGGTCTGAGGCACAAAGCCAAGGATGGAAATGTCGTAGAGCAGGTGCATCAGGAAGCCTCCAGGAGCTCCGTGGGTGTGGGTGCCACTGATAGCCACATTGTCATTGTGGTATAGGTTTCCATAGCGCGCCTGCAGGCGCTTAATCACCTCCCTCTTCAATCCGTAACCCATCATTCCCGCATCCGCACTCACGAAGGCCACTCGATTGCCCTTCTCGTCCTCCACCACGAAGGCACGGGCAAAGACTCGGGTGTGGATGCCACGACCCACCTGCTTGATGTTGGCATAGCCCATCTGTCAAGGGAGATTTACGAATTAGATCATATATAGGTAAAGGGAGGCATAGAGGTACTCACAAAGTTAATCTCCACTGGCGGTCCTGTGATATCCGCCCGGCCCACTCCCACTTTATAGGTGGCATTGACCCATCCACACAGCGAACTCAGGGCCAAAAGAGCCAAGAAGGCTAACTTGCTAATGGCCATCTCTGACTTTGTGGCTCTTAACTTATATCTGAAAATAATACATCTCATATAAATATTTTCATAACTATCTAAAATTTGCTTTTAAACATTTTGTATATCTTATATAAAGTCACAAAATGACTTGTTACCTAAAACCATTAGTAATCACTAGAACTAAAGCTAGCCTTCGTGTTTAATATAATTTCCCTAGCAATTAGAGCGCCTTACCTGTGACATAAATATTGAGCAATTAATAGTATTAAAAATTACAAACAATGTTTACCATCATGATTAAAAGCAATATACTTTTAATTACTGCTCAAAATTTATCTCTGGTTCTGAAGCAATTATTAAAAACAAGACCCAATGTTTAACCACATTTTCAGCAATTAATAAATAATGGGCACAAATTCTAGTCATGGGCATTTATGACTTTTTAATGTGTTTGAATAAAAATTAACCACTCGATAATCAAATTATAAAGGCAATTTAGCCGAAAATGAATTCGCTGTTATGACAATTTGTAAAAGTGATATACATCTCCCGTTTATTATTTACTTTGAAGTATGTCCTGCTGCACTCTTCCACTTTCTTTGACTTCTGATAAGTGAATACTTGCCATATAAGCATTTATTCCCCTCTACAATCTGTATTTAACCAAATGGAAAACGCAGAAAAAAAAGAGACCCCCTTTTTGCATTTGGCAATCGTATCGTATATTGCAAGTATCTGCAACAAATCGCTGTGGTTATGAAATGGTTATTTGCTTGACAGTTGGACAGCTGGACTTGAACCGATCCGGCCCTCATCTATCAATCGGTTATAGATAAAGCGCACAAATGCAAATTCCCCCTCGGACATTGGCAATCGCACTTCGGGTGTGACCTCCAGCAGACCCATCCACAATGGCACTAACAATAACAATAACAATCCGAGTAGCAATAACAATAATAATAATAACAAAGCAAACAACAGACCCGCGGTTGCAAGATGACAGGCGGGGGATCTCTTATCAGTATCTGAAGTCGGTTTTGGGAACCGGTTTTTATCAGTTGCGAAAGCCATGCGGCTTCTTCAGGGGCTCAATGGCTATACAGCTGTGGCCAAGATAATAGAACCACGAACCAAATGTTAGGGAATTTTTACATACGATCTACGATGTATTATATCGTTTTTATAGCGTAGATATATATTTTTTAACTATTTTGATCTTCATTTCTAGCAGTTTCAATTTAAATATTTATTAACAAAAATACTTTAATAATTTTAATCATTTATAAACGTTGTTTAGACATTTCTTAGCTCTCATGTGTTGTTAGATTTTCTATTAATAAAGATGCCATAATTTTTCTCTGTGTAATATGGTTCTTCTGTTTTGTGCATTGCTTTTCAAACTGATAAACACATTGAGCACATGTGGTACGCTAGATACTTTTATGCTAGCCGCTGTAGTGTATCTTGAAACCAAAAGTAGTTGGGGTTTTCCACTCCCGCGCATCAGCACCCCTCCTATTTTTTCTATTTTTCCGCCTGCTTTTGTTTCGAACTTAATGATGAATCGACTTCTTTTGTATGCGAGCTGGGTTCCACATAGAACACTCTGTTCCTTTGTTTTTTTTCGGATTCCCGCAAAAGGCGTTAAGTAGGAAATCGAGTGGGTAATAGCCGTGCATGTAAAGCAGAGCCAGAGCCCAACCCACCTGACCGATCCACCCCGATCCGATCCCCATTATTTGTCGTACACTTTGCATAATTTACACGCCACGGGTTTGACATTGAAAATTACGAACGAAAATTAAATAAATATGCTCGGCTATAAACAGCGGAATAAACTATCAGCTGCAGGGCCATCGCACAAGATACAAAGATACGAGATACAAATGGGCCGGCATACACGTATCTTTTGAGTTGATTTCGATTTCGGATACTTTTGCAATCCCCCGGAGGCTCGAAAATGTAACGCACACCAAAAGTAAAAAGAGAGCAATCAAAATATATGGAAATGCAAAAGTATCTCTTGGATACGGGCCGCCAAACGCTGATCGCCGGACAAACGCGCCAATTGAGCAAATTACAGAAGATTTCGTTTGATGAGTCTTTTATAAGATGAGTAGGTATATATACGAATCTCTGGCTGAGGTTACTTGCACTGATTTAGGGATGCTTGGACTTGTTTTTTGAGGGTTATGCAATGTGAACTCCTTTTTTCGAACTGGCTGGTTAGCCTTGCCACTCACAGTTATGGTTTAAACTTGGCTGGACTGCAATTATAGTGATTATATATTTATTTTGCGCTTATCACACGCTCTTTATCTGCCTAATTATTGGATAGTGTGCAGCATTTGCAGTTGCAGTTCGGCGCTTGTCGATGCCAAAAACCGATTTCAAAACACGCTGGGCCCCACTTTTTTCGATTTATTTATCTTTCCACGAACGCGACAGTTTATTTTTTACTTTTCGTCCCCTCCCCTCGAAAAAACGAAACTATCTCGAAATGAAACCGAAAAACGAGAGATCCGTGGGATTGTCGCCCGTTTTGCGCCCAAGTTGGCACTCGACTGATCGGATCGAGCCAACCATTCCACTCCCAGCCAAGCCAGACTCAATTTCAAACCGAACCTGAATCGGGGACTTCGGCTCTCGGCGTTTGCATCTGTGAATGGGTTTTCGGCTCTTCGGTTGTATGATTTTCGGGCGCTTTGTGGGCTTACTTCCCATCAATCTCTCAGTTGGTCAGTCGTCCAAGTGGTCAATCAAGCTGACTACCTCTCAATCTCTTCTCGTTCATACAATGTTTGTACCATATTTGATAGGTAGTACACTTCGACAAACATTAAGAAATATTTTTCACGTAGTGTTTATCTTATGATAGAATCTACCTTGATCCTGCCCAATATTCCCACCTGCACTGTTGGTTTTGCCCGATCTGCATGCTTTAAATAATCCACCGATAGCTTATCATATCGTCTCGTTAGTTTCCGTAGATCAGAGGACTTAGATTGGGCCACACTTATAGGTAACACGCGTGGGTAAACAAGTGCGCACTTTGACTCCTGCAAACAAGATATTTTCGCAAACAAATCCCCGATATTTGTACGGATAATTGTTTGCAATTTGGTATTATTTAACTTACCCGCGAAATAAGTTTCCTATCGACTTCTTTCGGGTTCGAGCCACGCGCTGCTACTGAATGAGCTCCCAAAAGAATTTCCACAATCGATCCAGCCGAGGGGTCTTTAAAATAGCCATTTGATAAGGTTCAACTATCGCTTAAGTTCGAGTATATTGCCCAGATTAGCCGTGTTTTATTTGTAGCGATACGGATTAAGTACGTGCAATTAGAAGGGAAATATACGGTTTCTAGAAATACAAATTGGCAACGTACTATATGAAGGCTTTAATCAAAGGCGCCTCCAATGATTAATTGATTGACCTTCAAACGGGGGCATACTCAAATATTTAAATTAATTAAGATCAACGTAGGGCACAACTTAAATGGATATATCACAGAAAATTGCATCTTAAGACTTCAGTTGTATTGTATACAAAGACAAAGCAATCAAAAAAGATTGAACACCAGAAGATATTCGAATAGTACACAAAAATTTAAATTCAAATAGTAACGTATGCTTCGCAGTGGGTAGTTTTGTAGTCGATGCTTCACTCGATAAGTATCGATAAGGCATCGATTACCGTGGCATTGCGCACAGCTGGGAGAACAGCTGTTCTCAGCTTTTTCAGAGGACGCCACCTGCGTAATTATGAGTAATTCTCCACGCACGAAGATTGCGGAACAGCATTGAACTGGCAGCCAAGAGTGCGTCCAATCCGCGCGAGCAACAACCCAAGACAATAGCCCAAGGACCCCGGGACAGCAGACAGTGGAACCCGGACAAGGAACTTCAGCAGGAGCAGGAGCAAGTGAAACCATGTCGAAGGCTGTGAACAACATGAGCATGGGCGTCGTGGAGCCGCAGGAGCGGATGAAGCACCTGTCGCACTGCGGCAACCTCATCGAGGTGGACAAGAACATGCCAGTCACACGGTGGGTAGACCTTTGATTCCATGGCCAATCGGCCCCCAAGGATGCGACCTTGGCCACCCAAGGACTTCGGGGTTCTCAGGTCCACACACTCGCTCACCCGCCAAATGTCCTTGCAGGTACTATCGCTCGGGCACCGAGATGCTGCGCATGGCCAATGTTTACCTGCGGGAGGGCAACCACGAGAACGCCTTCATCCTCTACTTGCGCTACATGACCCTCTTCATCGAGAAGATCCGCCAGCACCCGGATTACGGCAGTGTCAAGGCCGAGGTGCGGGATATCAACAGGAAGATCAAGGACGAGATCATGCCCACAACGGAGAAGCTGCGGGCCAAGCTGCTAACCCACTACCAAAGGGAGTACGAGCAGTTCCTGGCCAGCAAGGAGGCGGAACGGGTCAAGGAACTGGAGCGCGAACGGGAGCGGGAAAGGGAACGCCAGCGGCAGAAGGAAAGGGAGAAGGCCGGCTCAAGTGGCATCCCATCCCTCATCCCGGCCAACCTGCATGTGCTCATCGACGAGGGAAACCAGCCATCGGCGCCAGATTTGGGCTTGCTCGACCAGGTGGTCTACCCGAATGACTTTCCCACAGGCGCCAATCGCAGCCTGCCGGGATCGGGACTCCTGCTGCCCGCCGCCAGCGAAGCAGCCGCCGATAAGACAGCCAAGTGAGTTTCCAGGAAGGGTTCCTAAGCTTAAGTTTCGTAGTAAACATTCCCATAACACTGATCCGTCTAGTCATACGTATACAGTCATCTTCCCTTACTATAAACAAAGCTAACAGTCGAGCATTATGAATAATGAAACCCCAAGAATTTCTGTAAACATGTCACCGCACAGTACGGGTGCGATTCTATATAGTCAGCATATCTTTTGCCCTTCCACCACTGCATTCCGCTCAATCGAGGTTTGAAATGGGACACCTCAAACAAACATAAGGCATAGGCTTGCTTATCGAACGATCGTCAGCTATAAAACGATCCCATTTTGATTAAACTTGATAAGAAAACTGATAGTCCCATTAAACTGATAGTTCCGTCAAACAGTTAGACGTCGTTATCTATCCGACTATAGGGTTTTTCGCGATTCAAGAGATTGTGTTTTTTCAAAAACTCTGATTCATTATAGAGTATTAATTAATTAATTAAGATTAAAAAAATCTTATTTTCCAGCTCTAAACCTAGCTTCGATCGCAACCAGAAGCCGTCGTACAACCGCACTGATTCCCTACTGGCGGGCTCTCTGCGCATAGTAAACGTGCCCGGGGACACGATGGAGGTGTTCCTGAAACTGGCCCATGCCAACACCTCGAAAAACATCGAGACTTGCGGAGTATTGGCTGGTCATCTGTCCCAGAACCAGCTGAACATCACGCACATCATCACGCCGCAGCAGCAAGGAACTCCGGATAGCTGCAATACTATGCACGAGGAGCAGATATTCGATGTGCAGGATCAGATGCAGCTGATTACGCTGGGATGGATTCATGTGGGTGTCCTGCATGCTATAATAACTACCTATTTAACTATAAAATGCTCTCCTTTTGCAGACCCATCCCACTCAGACTGCGTTTTTGTCCTCCGTTGACCTGCATACGCACTGCTCGTATCAGATCATGATGCCCGAAGCCTTGGCTATTGTGTGCGCCCCAAAGTACAATACGTGAGTCATTGAATGAGTCACTTGGGATAGACCCGCTTATCTTGAATCCATATCTTCCCTTTGCAGCACTGGTTTCTTTATACTAACGCCCCATTACGGGCTCGACTACATTGCCCAGTGTCGTCAGTCGGGCTTTCATCCGCATCCCAATGACCCGCCGCTGTTCATGGAGGCGCAGCACATCCGGATGGACAACCAGGCCAAGATAAAGGTCATCGATCTGCGGAGACAGTCACTCGAAAGCCAAATTCAGCAGATTCAGCTATAGCTCCAGTTTCGGGTGTCAAACAGTGATTAACCATGGAAATTACAGAGATTTAGGCAGATAGAGACAGACTAACTATTTTCGGCAAACAGAGAGATATGTATTTTTGCAAGCTGTTGATCCCGAGGATCATCTATACATCACTTTAAGCACTCGGCGGCATTTGTTGTTGTTTATTGCGTTCCGGCCTTTCCGTTCGTTGCATTCTTTCACTTAAGAACCCCCAATGTGATTTTCAATTGTGGCTTACCCCTGCGTTCGTTACTATCTATTATAAACCTATATTTATATGTTAGGCAGTTGTTGGAGGGGGAACCCCCGGCACTCTCACACACAGCTTACAGTGCAAACTATTCGGGGCGCTCCGAAAAAGAGTTGCGTCCTTCTATGGCTTACTACTTGCGATAACCTGTTGTTCAAAGACGAATCATCATGAAATGCTATTATAAAACTGTGCATGCTTACTATTGTACTAAACTGAATAAATATTTATGACTACTGGTTTATGGTTGCCCATACTTTTCAGTCTTAATGGTTATTGCTAACATAAAACAAAATTGACCATGTTGGTGGTGTTGTTGGGGAGGCAAATTTAAAATCGGGAGCTAAAAATGTCAAAAGTGCTGCTGCTTTTGTGGAATTGCCTTGGAATTGTTTTCGGAATTTAAAATTACGAAGCTCTAATGTCACGGGATCCATTTCCATTCGCAAATTTCCAAATAATTCTTAATCACATACTATTGTCCAAAAAATTAAAAATGGTTCCATTGATATTTCCGGTTTAAAAATGGAAACTGTTTCCGAAAGATGGCGCCAGCTGTCAGCTGGAAAATTTCCCTAAGCTAATTACTTACATTTTCCCCTGCACATAAACAGCTGTAGCTTCATCAACAAATATTGGTTGAATAAAAAAAGGTAAAATAAATTTATATAAACCCATCTAATTAATATTATTTTTACCAACTAATATTTGAGTAATATTCTTACAGGCCTTAAGGGTGGAAATGCTAACATTTCCCTCGAGTCCTAACATTTCCCGCCGCAACCACCTTTTGGAGCCCTGTTAACCAGTGTTTTCCATGTTGTCATCCAGTTTAGCGCGTTTTCTCGTCCGGCACGGTCCTGTTTTCCGAGGTGTTCCCAGTGCAGCAGCTGTCGCCCACAACCATCTGGGTGCATTTGAGGAACAGGAACCTGTGTAGAGTTAAATCCAAGTGTTAAGCCGACTCGAATCGAATTACCCGCAATACCAGCGGAATTAAGTGCGTAAAAATCGATAAAGGAGCAGTTCCTTGTGAATCGGCCACCTGGGGTCAGGTGGAAACTCCCTACCCCCAACCCTGCTGGATTTTCCGGGGCCAAAAGTCAGAGCAGTGTTAGCCACCCGCAGAGCCGCTGATAATGCCAATGCACATCCCGTTTCCGTTTAATTGGATCCCCACTCTGCCAGTCGCCCGATGCCAAGAAGTAAGTGCACTTGGTTCCACCGAGCTTAGCCTTTGTCTTGCGTGGAATCCCAATCCCCGGCCTCATCAAGTGGGCGCCAGCTTGCGCTTTAATTACCAGAGACACCCCCTCGAATGGGTGACACCCCGCCCACTTGCCACCCAAGAGGAGGCGGATTAGGTGCTCGGATCTAAAAATAAGTGCGGCTGAAAAGGAATGAAAAGAGCAAAAGTGCCGACGGGCGGAAAAGTATAAACAAGCCTAATAGGGAAATTATAAAATACCCTTTCATAAAGATGTGTCTAAAAAAACTAAAAAAAATGTAGCAACGATATTTTTAAAAGTTTTTTAAGTTTAAGCTTATTATATAAAAAAAATTGTATTTATCTTATGAAGATATCAAGAATATGTCAAAATTATATAAAATGTGATGGTAATACTAAAAATGGTATATTAATTCATTAAAGAAAGAGTGATTTAAAACTAGTTCAAGAATGTACTTTGGAGCATAAGTTTCCCAGTGAAATAGCATTTAAGTTTTCAACAAACCTAAAAGTCTATAGACTTTCTTACGCCAAATTAATTCTTTATTGCCAAAAACCATTAACTTTATTTTATGGAAAGTTATTTCCCATCAGCACAAACAGATTACCCTTCTCAAGGATTTAAAAGCAAATCCATTGAGAAATAAGGGCACAATGAAGGGTTCTTGATTGAAAAGAGCTGCGATGGATAGATATAAATTGATAACAGTGTTTTCCGGAGCTATCATCCATCATGGATAAACCGAAAACTATAGTAAAGCTGTTAAAGTGGGGAGCTATTTGTATGTGACAGCGCGGAAGTGGAGGTCCTTTTGCGGCGCCTGTGTTGGTGATTCCCCCAGCTGTGCCTGTCGTGCCACAAAAAGGACAGCCCGTTCGAGGAGAAGGGAAACTGAACTGACATTTGGCTAACCTTCATAACAAAAAGGCTGTCGGTTCGTGCAGCTTTCTGGGCTCATGATTGGTGCTCGTAATTGTTCATTTTATTTAACAAACTCCAGTCCCCTCCCAAGAATTCGAAGGATGGTTCGCCCTTGTTAAAATTCTTTGGGAGGGGCGGATATTCCTCAGGCTGACGTTAATGAAATAATATTTTCTCGCTGGCTCAGCTATTTTTATACCCGCCCAAAACACGCTTCATTCACGTGCCCTCCGCAGATGGCCAGCGATGCGTATACGCAGTGTCTCTGCCGCTATCTTTCGTCTTTTTCTTTCTCTCTTTTGGAAAGCCCTCTCTTTCGCTCTTTTAGCGTGTAATTTCCCACAGCACGTGTTTACATTGTAAACAGAGAAACCCGAGCAGCTGTGAATGAATGCAACTGAATTTAAGAACATTTTCACAACGCGAAATCGTCAACCACTTGGCACGCTCGAAAATTGCGACCTTGCCAGCCATGCATGTGAATTGACAGTGGGCGTCAGTTGAATAGGAGCAATTAAGGAAAAATAATAATTAAGTTTTAGTAAATCCATATATCAAGTTAACATTTTTTGGGGTTTACTAATATACTTCTCTTTAAAGTGATCAGATCTACATTGTAGAACATCTCTTATTCCCCTGTTAATATTAAAAACTCTTTTTATTAATAATATTAGTACGATTATAATCATTATTTTCAAATGCTATAGAAGCAATTTCTTTAGACTTTAATTTCGAATGAAAATTTAGCATTTTATATTTTATCTAGTTCCTAATAACCTAATGGCAGCTGTAAGAAGTGCGATAGAGAGAAACACCTTGAGGCCACTTAGAATGAAATTACTTCCGTGAACACATTGCACCCATGATTCGCAGTGCAGTTTTCTATTATCAACAGAGTTTTTGTTTACGGGCTTACGAACACGCCCCTTTTCGCCCACATCACACCACCCTCTTAAAGTCTGCAGTAGATGGTTGCAGCAATTGTTTATTGTGGGATGGCAGTGCCAAGAAAAAAGAGCACGTCCCGGGCAAAAACAATAACAAACCGAAATGAGAATCAAAATTAATATGAATCTGAAATGCAATCGCCGAGGGTTCTCTTTTTATTTATTATTTTTTGCGGGTCTCTCTCTGGGTATGAAAAGTTACTGAATGCGGGAAAGCTCTCGATTCTATAATTCCGACAGTTCAGAATGGAAAAGCAGCGCGACGCCAGCGGATGACAGACCGAGAAAATCGCGCGCGTTCCCCGATAAAAATCACGAGTTGAATTCTCTATAAATATATCCGGTTCGGGCATAGGAAATTATTATTTGTTCTTTGGATAAGCCCAGTGGAATAACTCAGACACCTTCGAAGTATTCAATAAAAAACACAAAAACTCGCGAGTGACAATCAAAAATCCAGGTTTTACAGTATTTACCCAAGTAACTGGTGGTTAAATTAAAAGTTAAACCTACGGTTAAGTGAAGATAAGCGCCTATTTAAAAAGATAAAGCGAACGTGCCTGAAGTTCGCCAAGATCCAAAAGACTTTCGACTGTGTTCATACCTATAAGTGAATATGCCAGATAAGGATGAGGTAACGTTCCGTTCAGGAAACTAATTAACTATTGATCTGATAACTGACCGATTGAGGAAGTTCGCCGACCCAGACTAATTAATATCAATAAGAACGGATGGAACGATAAAGATACATTACGACATAGTCGAAAGATAAATACTGGACATCTCGGAAAGCTGGCAGGCTAATCAATTATATAAGAAAATAAAACAATATCATTAGAGAGCTTTTTGAGCATCCAGCGAATCACCTTCAATCCCATGGATTTGTGGCCAGTTTTCTCTGCTCACGACTTTGGAAAAGTCACCGCTATCTCAGGCCGAGATTCTCGGATTCTCAGTTTACAGATCGTTCCAGCCAATGTTCTATTTGATCTCTTTCTATATGCATACCTCTCTCGCTTTTGGATTCTCTCTGGTTCATTTGCTGTCGTCAATTAGCCAGCTGACTGTGGTCCCATGGCTCACACTGCGTATACGTAATGGGCCAGTGGTGCAGCTGTTTCCGAATTCCCCTTATAACACCCTTCTTGTGAAAATTGTTACATTTCTGTCAGTTAGTAAAGAGCATTAAAGAACATTATGAAAAATCTGATTACCCTGGGTGGATTTCTCGAGCTCCCAGTTGTTCACTTGCGACTTCAGTTGGTGGGGTGGGTGAAATTACCCCATCCAAAAAGACTGAAACAACGACAACCACGGCGATAATGAACAGCCGGTTTGACCTTGATGGAAATTGCAAACAAAAACAAAACTTTGCGGCTCGCGCAACAAATTTCCATGGAACCTGCAGAGAGAAAAACATAAACAAGATTTTAATTGGGGTTTTGTGATTGCGGGAAATTATCATATTTGTATTTAATTTCAAGGATTAATATACATTTTCAAATATTTTTAACTTTTAAAATGCTACCTAACCAAAATAAAGTTAAAACACAGCTGCTTAATAAAATTTATTCTTTTTTATAAATTTATTAAAAAGAGTATTATTTGTCCAGAACTTATTCCCAAAATATAAGTTTCAGTGTGTAAATCAGGCATGAGTATTTATCAGTTTTTTCTGTGTATCCACCGATACAGACAGAAAGATATAGTAACAGTGACAAGCACGTGCCACTCGCTGCAGGCAGCTGAGCCGCATGGAAAGCGGGGAAATCGGGGAAAACCGGGGGAAAAGCGACCTGGGCCTGCAACCTTTGAAGACCATGGCCAAGAAGAACTCATTATGCAAATGCAACAAAGCAGAAGTCAAGCCGAGGGGTGGACAAACAGACAAACAAGGGGAGGGACACGAACCCGAGCAAACAAACAAACAAGTCGCTGCTGTCTGGCGTCACACGGGTCGTATGTGTAACATTTTCCGCTCGTTGGCGCTGCCCAAATAAAAAGTGAAAAAAGAAAACAGTTTTTACTGGGCATGAATATATAAAACAGCACACAAGCACATTGGGGGTTTACAAGTTCAGCCTGCAATGCCAGCAAATTGAATCGGGGTTAAAGCGGAACTTCCTTTGATTATATTCGGATTGGAT